AGCAGATATGTCACCTGAAATAAGTCCTGAGGACAACGTGAGCAAAATAAAAAAATCAGTGCAAATAAATGCACTACAAGAGGGATCAAACACTACAAGAAAGATCAAACCCCCTCCTGTTATATTAAACAATGCGGTGAAATATCCAAAAATAAAAAAGATGCTGAAAGAAATAAACTTTAGGTCAACATGATGAATAATAATCAACTTTAAATCAATGTTGATCAAGAACAAAATTACATAGAATTAACGAAAAAAACAAATGAATCTAAAGTTTTGTATGCCACATACGAAAATAAAATGACAAGTCCTATCAAGGTATTAAAAATGAACTGAAGATATTAAAAATGAACTAACAAAGAGGGGTTTTAAATTAATGGAAGTCGTTAATAAAATAAAAAAGCAGAATAAAGAGAATAAGATCAGTATGATCCGACTTCCTCTCGTCATGTTAATGTTTGAAAATTCAGAGGACATAAATAAAATTTACAAAATTGATGTACTTCAGTACATGAAGATTAAAACTAAATCACTAAGGAGAAATAATTTAGTTCCTCAGTGCAGAAGGTGTCAGAGATATGAGCACATACAGAGGTTTTGCCAGCGTCTGGCTCAATGTGTCAAGTGTGCTGGATCCCATTTGACGATAAAATGTACTGAGCAAAAAATCGAAGCTCCAAAGTGTGCAAATTACTCTGAGGTACATCCTGCGAATTACAGTGGTTGTGTAGTCACAAAGGAATTACCAAAAAGAAAAAGTAAATTTACAAAACAGAAACAAATATAAACAACACGAAAAAATACTCCCAAAACTCCAAAAAACCCCGAAAACAACTACAATGAGTAAAAAAGTGCAGGGAATACAATATGGCCAAGTGGCGAGAGGTGAAACTTATAACCATACCAAAGAACAAAGAAATTTGAAAAGACTACCTCAAAGACCTGCGGAAGGCAATATAAATATAATGAAAATGATGCAAAATATGACAAAAACTATGATCGAATTCTCATTGAGATTGAACAGATTAGAAGACAAGCACGACCCGGAACACAAATGAAGTTCTTAATAAGAAGCGTATATTAGAAATATTCCTAAGAACCCAAAATATTGATATAATATGTTTAGTAACGGAAACACATTTAAAACAGGAGGCAAACATAAAAATAAATGGTTACATGAAATACTAGTCTTGTGTGCTTGCATTGCAAACCTTGCAAGTATGATGCCTGTAGTTTTGAAATTGTGTTCCATTCTGCGGCTGAGATATTTTAAGTTTACTTTATTTCTTCAAAAACACACCCATAATATACATATAGATATGTTTTTTCCTGATAAATAATAAGATAAAACTTAAAACTTAAAATAAAAAAGTTCTGAGAAATAATTACCCAAAAATACATAATTAAACAAATAATTAGTTCCTTTGAAATCTAATACCTTTTGAGTAATTTATTTTAAAACTTCACTTTGAGTTATGTCGCATAAAATCGTAAAATACCTTTTACAATAAACACTTTAAGCCATAAATTATTGTTTATTATAAAGTACAATTCATGCACGTATGTATTTGAAGTTTATAATACATGCGAATAAAACGCGTGACTGTAGAATGAGTATTGGTGTTAACTCTACGATAATTACGGTGTTAACTCTAATATAACTAACGTATATAGGGTAATACGTATTGCATACGATTTGTATGCGTATTTTTGACATTTTTGGGCACCAAACTTTGTTAAAACATTTTCATACAAGTCTTTTACATGATTGCATATGAATGCTGTATCGATTACTTTCCGATTGTACCTTAGTATAATTGATTATACCTTTGTAGCAAATTGCAAAAAGAATACATATATATATAAGTAAATGTGTATATAATCGTACATGCTATAAAACTATATGTAGATATTATTAATTTTTTGTTTTCTTGTTATAACTCACACTTATAGAATTAAACTTATTTCCAATATACATATATGCTATCCAAAATTATAAAAACATTACCCCCATAAGATGTAATATCATTTTGTAAAAAAATGGACCAAAACATCTTTGGCAAAACTCTACCTAATGCCTAGAGGCAAAACTCTACCTAATGCCTTTTGTCCCATGTCTCTAGCCCTTCTAGAAGTACCCGTACTTTTTACCACCTGAGAAGTAGCTATATATATATAATGTAAAATATGATGGTTTTTGATGAGTTATACGAAATATGAATAAAATATAGAATTATTAAGCGAAGTTCAAGGTACTGCGTAGCCTAGTGGTTAGCGTGGTAGTCTCATAGCCAGAAGGTTATTGGATCAATGCTTGCCTGGATGTCGTCGTATTTTTATTTTTTTGCATTATTTTAAAATTTTTTTTTTATTTTGTTTAAATTTTGTGTTTTATTTTTTTTTAATATATAACAGATAAATGTTATATAAAAGTTTAAAGAAAATTTCCAAAAAAATATTCTTATAATAGTTTGGAAAAATTCGCAAAAATTTTAAGTACATAAATATGTATGTATGTATATTTTTTTTAAAGCTTCCTGAGTAATTTTTTCAAGCTTTCTATATGAATTTAATAATATTCAAAACTGTAGAATATATAGAAATAAATTTTAAACGCATAATTATTAAATCATGGGAGTAAACTTACAAAAATTAATTTTTCAAATAAAGAATAGGTTTAGTCAAAAACAAAATAATAATTTATGTATGTAAAAATATATGTATGTATGAATATATGAATATATGTGTGTATATATATATATGAATGGATTAGAATTGAAGATTTTAAAATTTTTCGTTCCAACATATGAACGTATGTACATATGAATGTATTAGAATCGAAAATTAAAAAAGAAATAAAAACAAAATAATAATTTATGTATGTAAAAATATATGTATGTATGTATATATGAATACATGTGTGTATGCATATATGAATGGATTAGAATTGAAGGTTTTAAAATTTTTCGTTCCAACATATGAACGTATGTACATATGAATGTATTAGAATTGAAAATTTTGAAATTTTGCTGTTTAAAAATTAGAAATAAAATTATTAACACAAACACACGATATTATGAATGTATACCTAGTTTTTTTAAAACTGCGGGTGAACATATTGAAATAAATTTCTCAAATAAAGAAAAGGTTTAGGTTAAAATAAAATAATAATTGTATTCAAATATATATATGTACATATGAATGTAATATTTTTAAATAAAGAAAAGGTTTAGGCAAAAACAAAATAATAATTTTATTCAAATATATGTATGTATATATAAATGTATTAAAATTTAGCATTTTACAGTTTTCCGTTTGGAACAATAAAAATAAAATTCTAACTACATACGTACATACATATATTTTTTTAAAGCTTGCTGACGAAACGTAATGTTCAAAACAATAACAAATGAAATATTAATATTCAGATGTCACAAAACATCTGATGTCTGATAAAAGCTGACATTTATTTACGTTAAGATTAATTCGTTTATCCGCAACAAAAATATGTGAGATCATTATATTTTCAAATATTATTTATTTCTCGGTTTGTGTTTCTAATAATAAAAATAACGTAAAACGTATCATTTATTTCTTGGTTTGTGTTTCTAATTATAAAAAGTATAAAAGAAAAACGTGCTTTTGTTATACAAAAATTTTTTCAGAAAATCTTAAAATAGAGCTATTTCGGGGCTAAAAAGTTCCAATGTCAGATTTTTCTGGTACCCTAGAGGCAAAACTCTACCTAATGCCTTTTGTCCCATGTCTCTAGCCCTTCTAGAAGTACCCGTACTTTTTATGCCTTTTGTCCCATGTCTCTAGCCCTTCTAGAAGTACCCGTACTTTTTACCACCTGAGAAGTAGCTATATATATATAATAAAGCGGCGCATCCTAATAATGAATCAAAAGATGGTTGCGCTATTTTGATAAGGAGTAATATAAAACATAATGAAACATAATGAATAATATAAAGCAAGCGCAATTTAAAGAGAAAGTAAAAAAAAAAAGAGAAAACGAAAAATAAAATTCAAACAATAATAAATTCAATATGTTATTTTGATATTTAAATTAAGAGTAAAATGAGATAAAACTAAAATTTAATGTTACTTTGTAATGATAATAGTAATGCAAGAGAAAAAAAAAAACAAAGTAAACACACTAAAATTAATAATTACAGTAAACTCTTTTTGAATTTAACCAAGATTTGTATTTGAATGCATCGCGTATTTATTTATATACAATATCTTTTTTAGGGCCTCCTTCAGTTTTGGTTTCGTCATGGATTTCAAATTATGATCTAAATTATTTTATAGTTTGATTGCTTGGTATAATGATATATGAGTCCCATATCTACAGGTATTCTTTTTATCAAAATGTAATAGATTTTGACTTCTTGTATTAACTCGATGAAGATCTTTTCTTTTTTAAAGATTTTTTATGGCCCTATTTTGAATAATTTGTATCTCCTTGATAGTTGTTTTAGGTGCCGTAACCCACAGCTTGGCTCCGTAACTAACATGACTATGAAATATTGCATAATACACTGATTTTTTTTTCTATTTGGAAGAAACGAACTTATTTTGTAAAAGATTCCAGCAACTGAAGACAACTTTTTACTGAGATAGTCAATGTGAGTTTTCCAATTTATTTCATTATCCAACCGGATTCCAAGATATTTAAAATTATCAACTTGTTGTAAACTTTCATTTTCAATCTTTATATTCAGTTTAGGGGCCGTTGCAGCAACAATTAAATATTTAGTTTTGTTTCGATTCACTGTCAATTTTTGAGTTTTCATCCATTCATTTACCTTATCTATTTCGTGATTTATTCTATTTTGTAGATCTTTGGATTTGTCGGCTTGAAATACCAAACAAATATCATCTGCATAAAGATATATATCAGCTTCAATTCCGATTTTGTTTATACTATCCATATAGACTATAAACAGCAGAGAACCCAAAATGCTGCCTTGAGGTACACCATATTATGTAACCAATTAATTTTCGCTTTTATTGGCACCAATATGTGTAAATTGTTTCCGATTTTGTAGATAAGATGAAAACCATTTGTTAGCCAACCCTTTAATTCCATTACTACGTAATTTCATCAGCAGTATTTTATGATCAACTGTGTCGAAGGCCTTTGACAGATCCATAAATAATAATGAAACCATTTTATTAGCATCTTTTAGGTTTTGAACACGATTGATCATATCACCTACAGCAGTTTCGGTGGTGGATTTGATTCTGTAACCATATTGCGTTTTTGAAAGAATCTTGTTATTTTCGAGAAATCGAGAGACCTGTGTGTATACAACTTTTTCTATAATTTTAGATGTGCCAGGAGTACAAATTGGTCTATAATTATTATAATCACTCTTATCACCAGATTTGAAAATTGAAACAATTCTTCCCAGTTTTAAGGCTTCAGGAAAAGCACCCTCAGCGAGCGATTTATTAATTATTAAAGCAATTGAATCACATAAATACTCATTGCATATTTTAATCAGATTATTCGATAAATTAAGAGAATCTGTTGTTTTTGAGTTTTTTAGCTGTTTAATAATCTTATTTATTTCATTTTTATCAGAAAACTCAAATTCAAACGACAAGTCAGTATAAGACTGAGGGTAAAAAATTTTACTTTCAAAATTTTTTGTCATTGATTCACCAATTCCAGCAAAATGTTTATTTAAATTATTAATTTTTATTTCAGCATCCTGCTCTGACAATCCTTTTAGTAAATCAACACCACTTTTATTACTGACTCTGTTATATAACATATTATTTATGCATTGCCATATTTTCGAGGAATCTGTACAATGTTCTGCAAGCTCTTTTTCAAAATATTTTTGTTTTTTATATCTACGCATGCTTGTAACCTTATTGCGATAATATTTATATTGATGTTCTAAGAATGTATTGGAACTATCACGTGACCATTTTGAAAACCAACCATTTTTAACCTTCACTGCCTCAATAACTTCTTTATCGATCCAGTGCTGGTTATTCTTACGTTTTATATTTGATGATTTGTACGATTCCACGGTCCTTTCTTTAAGTCTTTCAAGCCAATCATCGATGGTGTCTTCACAATTTTTAGTAGTACTTAAAATGAGTTGTTTGTTTATTAACGATTTTCTTATAGAGTACGGGTTAAGAGTTCTATTTATGAGGGTTTTACTGTTTTCGGATGCAATATATTGTTATTAAAAATTTCTGTCAGTATGACATCGTGATCTAATGATTTCATATTTACATGCCATAATTCTATTCTTTCATTTAAATTATTTCTGAAAAAATGATCTATACAAGTGTTAGATAATTTTCTAGTTGTTGAATTTCCATTGCAATTGTAAAAATAATTTGAAGAGATAAAATTTTTATGCTTGCTAACATTATTATTATTAATATCAAATAAATTTAAATTAAAATCACCAGTGATATAAGTATTTTTTTTACAATTGGTATTTCCTATGCAGTTTTGAAATTCATCTAGAAAGTCATTAAATTTGGTTGATATAATGTTTGGTGCTCGATAAACATTGATAATATTAAAATGTGTATCAGGGTTTTCGCTGAAAGAATACATTTTCGTGTAACTTAAGTTTTTATTTATAAAAATGCCACAACTCCACCACTCTTATCTGAACTGCAAGAATATTCAGCATTATAGTTAAACAAGTTACAGAATTGTTTTTCTTCAGATTTTACCCAGGTTTCAGTGATACAAACAACGTCAACTTGGTAATCAAAAGACTTCAATAATGTATTAAAATCATCTATTTTGTTTTTTAAACTTAGAGCATTCAAGTATGAAATTTTTAAGGAGTCAGAGCTTAACAAAATTTCATTAAGTGTGTCATAAAATAGATTTTTTGGGTTAATGAGAAATTGGTTATGTTGATTATTTTGATAGTTCATTTAAAATATCAATATTTTTAACGTGAAAAATTTTGCTGGTTCTGTTCTTGCGAACAAAGATTTTTCCGTCATTAACCCAAGTGAATTAAATTTTTTTGTCTTTTCTCATGTCTCTTGCTTTTTAGCACTTTTCCAAAAAATTTTTTGAAAAAAGTGCTTATTAGTTTCACTCTGTCCGTCCGTCCGTCCGTCCGTCCGTCCGTCCGTCCGTCCGTCCGTCCGTCCGTCCGTCCGTCTGTCCGTGTGTCTGTTTACAAAACTTCTACAACTTTGAAGATAGAAAGCTGAAATTTAATACGTACATAGATCTTCACTAGAAACTTATTTCCGTAGAACAAAATTTTTACCTATCTCCCTCCCTCTAGAAGTTATACCCCCCCAAAACCCTAAAAATGGCCTTTTTTAAATATTTGTTGCAATGAAACCATAAGCATTTTTGAAATTTTGCAAACGCAGAAAGGCAGTGGCTTGCTTCCCCTTGCGCGGTATACTATAGTTCAACTTAAGAAAAACAAAATGGCCGCTCAAATTTACCGTTATTTAAAGTCTTTTTTTTCCAAATTTTTGATCTCGTTTTTCTTCTAGACCCCAGCCTGTAGAAGCTTGAAATTTTAGGAGCTTTTAGATATTAATAAATAGTTCATTTTGTTAGAAGAAATTTTTTTTCCATCTCCACCCCCTCTCAAGTTATCACCTCTTGAAATTCGTAAAATTTGAATTTTTGACACCTTATATTTCCGAAACCGCAAGCTTTTCCAAATTTTTATGAACGCAAGAAGCTAACGGTAAATTCCATGAAATTAAAAAATATAATTATTTTTCTTAACTCACACAATTAACCCTTAAAATCGAGCATTATGTTAACCCCTTTTTATATTAATTTTTGCTTTATTTCAAAGACTGCATATATGCGTCATCCTAAATATATGCAATCCTAGAAATAGTTTTGTATATGAATGAAAACAATTTTAATAGTGTGATAGCTATACATAGACTGTATTTAAAAGCAGAATTTTCACTTGTTGAAGGGAAAAGTGCTACAATACAAACCATTGGTTTGACCCAACTTTATTTGAATAAAAAGCTGTAATAATTTGATAATAATTCATTTATATCTATTGGAGATTTGCTATTATCATTGAATATTTTACCAGAATAAAGGAAAGCTTTATTTTTAACCAGTTCTTTATATATTGAAAGTAAATTTACTTTTGAAGTATTTTGCATAAATTCAATAATTATTGGTGCTGATTGTAAAATGTCATTTGCTCATTCACTTTTTGCTCGTTTTTGCGATATATTTCTTTTATAATATTCGTTGAACAATCAATTTCTAAATTGTTTAACAATTTTGTTGCAATTGAGGTTAGGTTTTCATTTTCATTTTTTGTTACACCATAGACTTTTATACTATTTTTTAATGATGCTTGTATATTATTATGTATCTTAGCATCCAAATGTTTTAGTTTAGATTTAAGTTCATCGATTTCATTGTTGAGTGCTAAGTTCTCCATAGTTAAGTTTTCAGTAATTATTTTGTAATCATTTAAGGATGTTTTTAATGACTTAATTGCATTCTCAAGTGATTCATTTTTCGCAATAATTAAATCCAACTTTTCATTTATTGATTTAGCATTTGTATGATTGTTTTCAATACTTACATCAATTGAGTTTTTATTTTTATTTTGCAAATCACTGGTTGCGGGAACATTAAACACTGAACTGCTTCTTGACCTTTTGGCTGCTAAGATTTAATTTCAGATTTAATTTCATCAAATTTTTGATTGGAGAAACCTGTGCAATTTTTATGGAAGGACTTGTTGCAATTTTCATCGCAAATAATGAAGTTAGTACCAGTCAATTTGATATTTTTACTGCACTTGTTACATACTGATGTTACTTTATTGCTCGCCATTTTATTTTATGATTGGTTTGTTGCTGTACGAATAGAGTTTTATAAACAAAATTTCGATGTTGGTGTACTTTACTGTCCTGCAGGATGTGTTATAAAGAGTGGTTCATTCAAAGATCTCCTGAATCTCCTTAAAGAAAGGCTTATTCTAGGATGTGACAATAATGCCAAACATGTTGATTGGGGTTCTAAATTCACCTCAACAAGAGGTAGAGAGCTAAGAAAAGCTATTAAAGCGATTGGTTGTTACTGCCAATCCACTGGCAGACCAGCATATTGGCCAAATGATAGAAATAAGATACCAGATCTGCTAGACTTCCTTATTGTCAAGAAAATCTCGCCAAATTTCATTAGTTTAGAAGATAACTATGATTTGGATTCGGATCATTCTGCAGTTATATTAAACTTAGCTGAAACAGTTATGAAGCAACAAAATAAGCCCATGTTGATTAATAAATCCACCGTCTGGACTAGTTTTAAAGAAGAGATAGAGAATAAAATAAACTTAAAAATTGAAGTACGAACCCAAGATGATTTGGATCCTGAGGTAGAGAATTTTAATAAAATCATACAAAGCGCTGTCTGGAATAATACAAAACAATATAAGTATAAATCCGTGAGTATGACTTACCCGATAAAAATACTAAATATGATAAGCAAAAAAAGAAGAGCTAGACGCAGATGGCAAAACTCACGAGATCCGGCAGATAAAACTGCACTCAGTTGATTACATTAAATTCACTTAATTACATTAAAAATTTTTTAGCCGAACAAAAAAATAATTATTCTCTATGGAGGACTGTAAAAAATATTAAAAAGCCAATTTTACATGTCCTCCCCTATTAGGCAAATGGGTAGAAAACAAAGATAAGGTTGAAATATTTGCAGATCATCTTGAACAAATTTTTAAGCCAAATTACGTACACTCAAACATAAATATTGCAATGGGAAATGTGAGAGCAGAAAACGTAATCGCTCCATTTGCACAAAGAGAAATAGTGGAAGAAATAAAAAGTTTAAAGTCAAGGGAAGCACCAGGTTATGTTTTAATTATCTTTGAGATACTGAAGCAATTATCAAAAAAGGGTATAACAATGTTGACTTTTTTAATGAATTCTGCACTAAGGTTAAAATATGTGCCTAATGCTTGGAAGGTGGCAGAAGTTATAATGGTACCAAAACCTGGTTAACCTTTAAGTGAGACCAACTTGTAAGTCTTGTAGACCAACTTCCCTGCTACCAATTTTGTCGAAACTTTTTGGGAAGTTATTACTGACAAGAACGGGACCTATAATTGAGAAGAAGTCATTAATTCCCAACCACTAATTTGGGCTTAGATTAGCCCATTCAAGAGTAGAACAGGCTCTGGAGAAAAAGCAAATTTGTGCAACAATTTTTGTAGACGTGGCACAGGTTTTTAACAAGGTTTCACACGAATGATTGATTTATAAGTTAGAAAAATATATATTACCAAAGCAATATGTAGATATTCTTTCTTCTTATTTAACCAACAGATTATTTAGAGTCAAATAGGAGGGGGACTATTCCACACTTAGAGAAGTAAGAGTAGATGTGCCTCAGGGCAGTATTTTGGGCCCAATACTATATCTACTCTTTACAAGAGATGTGCCTCAAATAGAAAACACAATTATGGCTACACATGCTGACAATACTGCAATTATAGCAGTATAGTTGCAGCAGGCAAGCAATAGTTTTGATGCTTGAACCAAGAAATGGAAAATAAAAGGAAATGAAACTAAGTCTGCACAAATAAATTTTACAAATTAAGTTCTTATGAACCCCTACGTGTGAATTTAAATGGGGTAAATATTGCACAGGAAAATGCGGCGAAATATCTAGGAATGACACTGGATGCTAAGCTAAATGGAAAGAACATGTTATAAAGGAAAAGGCAGAATTAGAATTAAAATATAAAGAAATGTATCGTCTCCTAAATCGCAAGTCAAGGTTGCCGATACAGAATATGATCCTGCTCTATAACCAATTATTAAACCGGTTTGGTGGTATGGCATCCAGTTGTGGGGATGTGCCAAACAGATCCATGTCCACTAAAGGGACTAGTATCAGAATATGAGGAGGAGATTTTTGTGGTGAAACACATAACTAACGATTGGTCGCCAGGGAATGGCATGTTAGTAGCATTCATGCTTTCCTCCTTCCTTCGCTGAAAAAAAAAAAAATTTAATCAGTTATAAATGTATAAGTTTTACAATTATTAACTTTTAAAATTTAACGAGGCTTAATCCTTTTTTGGATAAAAGCCGAATATGGGGAATGGATAGCAGATTACATCAAGCAGATTTGAATTTTGATGAAAAGTTTCCTACAATATTGCCGATAAAAGTGCTTTTGTGCGACTGCTTTTAGAAAAAATTCATCAGGAAACTTTACATGGTGATATCTTATGCTCAACTTATGTTCAATGTAATAAATAGAAAGTTTTGGATTATTGGTGCACGAGAACAGATTCGACAGCAACTACATAAATGTATCATTTGCTATCAACGAGGGGCCACAGTTCAAGCACATCTTATATCGAGCTGGTCATAGACCTCAAGAGTGAGAGGTTCACCGTAGGTTACAGGTGATTCAGTAGCAGACGCGGTAAATGTGAGACACTCAAATTATTATAACGGCACCTATTTTCTTGAAGCAAGGAAAGAACTCGGAAGGCAACATAAGTAGTTAAAATAAGATTAAGCACATGGACACGAACATGAAAGAGTAGTTTATAA